TGAGTGCTTTCCTTTGCGTGATATCGGTACCCATTCTCGAACGAATATTATTCTAAAGCCGTGCTTAGTTCAAGCTTGGACGTATTGAACACAGTTCAAGTTTCTAAATTTTGATTGATGAGCCGGTTTTCTGTAAAATGTGCTATGAGTTTTAACACCTTTTGGATTGTAATCTCATGATTCGGGTGCCAGTTAGAGTTATTTCTCACTGTTTTTCAGGTGGGGTCTCACTAAAGCGGTCAATGAAACTGCATTTAGGTCAAGATATGACCAAGTGTTCTGTATCGAGTCTATCTAAAACGGTTTTATGCGCTGCATGGGGTTCAGTTTTCTTTCCTTTTACGACGATGCCGTTATCATCTAGAAAAACTAATGTCATTTTGCAGTTCCTTAGAGTGAGGTACATTGCTTTTTGAAGTTGTGCTGGCATGTTTGTCAGCCCATTAAATCTTGTTTGAAACTGGTATGTGCCCGTGGTTTTGCCTCCCACCAGGCCAAAACTGCGTTGTTCTTTACTTTTACCTTATAATTAGATCTGTGCGTCTGCATATCACAAATCAAACATTGTGAAGAAAAAGTTTCTTGGGCTATTTTGTCGAAAATTTTTTCTTTGTGTTTTTGACTGTTCATGTTTCAATTAAAAGTTTCTCCGAAGTTTTCTGGCTCAGCACATGTGTTGTAAACATTTCCCTCACACATTTATGCTCTTTGTCTTCACAGTCGTCTTTGGATGCTAGCGCAACCATTTACGCAAGATTAAATTTGTTGGATTCTGCAAACAGATTTATATTGTTCGAAGCCAAATTTTTTTCTGGGACCAGAAAATCTTTGAATTCATCCTACAGTTCCCTCGTAGATACTGATTGGATATCAATACTCTGTTTTCCTTGTCGGAATTGTCTTTGAGCGTCTTGTGCTCTTCGGTTTCCCCTTCATCCCATGTTGTTGTTCGGCATAGCACACCCCTGCTATTCAGTTTTTGGCATTCGTTTTCCCATATGATACGTTTCTCTTGATTATTGTTTTCTCTGTCTCGTTTTTTTAGTTTGTTTTCTTATCTAGAAATTTCTCGAGCATTGGCTCTGGTGAACTGTGTGTGCAGGTCGATTATTTGCATAGCACACCCCTTTTGTGACGTTGACATTATCATCTAGAAATGTAAATATCATTTTGCATTTCGTAACAGTGAGGTCAATTGCTTTTTGAAATTGTGCTGGCATGTTTGTCAGCTCGTAAACTGTTGTTTGAAACTGGTATTTGCCCGTGGTTTTGCCTCCCACCAGACTGAAAATGCAATGCTCTTTAGTTTTATCTTCTAATTGGATCTCTGCGTTTGCATATCTCAGATCATGTGTCGTGACGAAAATTTCCCCGGTCCTGGTGCTTCAGTCTCTTAGGCTACCTTGTCGTTTAATAGACCATGTTTGCCATTTGGTTTTCAATTTTTAATTTGTATTAAATCCAACGCCAGTTTGTTTGACTGGATCTTCTGACAGTTTTTACTATACGGCTAACGAATTTCTTGTCACTGCAATATTCGAGTTTCTTTACGTGGTCCTGATCTAATACTTGAATGATTTCCTGTTCCACTTGCTCCTGCAAATGTATGGGTACTCCTCTGCCCTTCTGTTGTGTCGCTCTGCAGTTTTTGGTGAACTCGGTTTTTACCATGTGGTTTTTTATTTAAATTATCTGGTGCATAATCATCTATAGCTGTCTTTAAACCGATTCGCTACGGTGAGGTCCGATTTGTCTTATGAGTCGAGATTCAGAAACAAATGATGTTTCAGTTTATCTTGGCGTAGTATAATCCCAAATTTAGAAAGGATGTTTCTGCTTACGATGCTGGCTCTGTAACCAACCACTACAAAAAATGGCGCTGACTGTACTGTCCAACCTCCCACTGATATTCTCAGTCTACCTAGTGATACGATGTACAATCCGTCGTAAAACGCGAAGTTATGGTCCGCATTTTCGTTGTGGATACGTTTCCAGATGGTACATTTCAACGTTTGTTTGAAAGTTTCTGCCAAATGTTCATTTAAAAAGCTCATTGGACTGCCTGAATCAGCTATTGCTATTATGGCCTCGCCGTTGATTATCAGTTTCTCTAGGTGTCCGTTCAAATCTTCTTTGCCAAACGATCCAGCGTTTTTGGTTTGGAATACCTCATTATTAGCCAATACTGTAAAGTTATCTGGTTGTGGTGTTTCTCAACGGTTTGACGCGGTGAACTCTGCATACCGGGTCCATGTTGTCTTAATTTTTCCCTTGAGCATGTCCGCGTCTGTTTCGTCTCGATCTTTAACATAATTGACTTTTGGTGACCTGCATGTTTTTAGGAAGTGGCCTCTTCTTTCACATTTGGAACATATTTTGTCCTTTGCTGGGCATAATTGGAGGAGTCTTGCCGGTAATCTGTTGTTACATTTATAAAAAAAATTGTTTGCTTTGCTCCTGGTTAGTATATTTCGGTGCTCCTTTTTGCCCGTGTTGTTGTTGATTTCCGTTCAGAAAACTACCATTTTGTCTGCTTCCCCTGCCTCTTCCAAATGATGGAAAAGTTTTCCGTTGGTTAAAAATCCAACAAACTCTTTTTTTTTGTAATTTGGCTCCCCGATGCACTAGAATGTCCGTGCTTGTCGTTTTTCAACGTTCGATTATGTTCTATATCTAATGGCATTGACGTACACTTCTTTGCGTGTTCGTATTTCAATTAAGAGTTCCTCCGAAATTTTCTTGATCAGCTCAAGTGCTGTAAGCTTGTCACCCACTTATTCATCCTTTTTGTCTTCACAGTCGGCTTTGGCTGCTAGCTCAACCATTTCCGCAAGATTCATTTTTTTGGACTCTGCAAACAAATTTGTATCGTTCGAAGGCAAGCATTTTTTTTGTGACAGGTACGTCCTCGAGTTCGTTCCACAGGTCCCTCATAGATATTGATTGGATATCAAAATTTGGTTTTCTTTGCCGGAACGGCCTTTGAGCTTTTTGTCCTCTACGGTGTCCTCATCATCCCACGGTGTCATTCGGCATGGCTCACCCCTGCTATGCACTTTTTGGTATTCGTTCTAGCATCTGATACGTTTTTCTTGAATACTGTATTCTCTGTCTCGGTTTTTTTTGTGTTTGTTTCCTCGAGCATTGGCTCTGGTGATTTGTGTGTGTAGATCGATTTTGCAATAATGATCATGAGTCGATGTTGTCCTTCGCGAATATCGCCTTTTGTAATCCAGCAATCCGTTTTGCCCACCTCACTGGTGGTTCCATTGTGTGACCGTGCCAACACGGCAGTATAGTTAAACAATTTTTCTGGTCGATACTTGCAGATCACGCTATTTTCTATCTAAATTCTAGTTATCTGGTTAAGAAAACAAAACCCTACGCTTCTATGCTTCATCTAAATTACGACAGAGGTGTACAAAGGTCTAGTGTTCAAGATTTAAATAGTCGACAACGAACACACGTTAGACATGCATCGACTGCATGTTCACAGGTGCCGCCAAGATAATCTAATAAAATTGCCCTAACACAAACAAGGATAGCCGGTTACTGTGCAAGTAGCACAGATTGTCCCGTTAATAGTCTTACAAATACAACAAAAAAGTTTTTTGATTTTAGTGTCGTGTTTTTTCGGCGTGGTGTGATAAAAAAAAACTGAACAAAAAACTATATATTGGGCATTGTACATTCGTAGTAAGCTAAGCAAACTGAAGAACACTTCTTGTGAGAAAACGACTAGAAAAACAAAAAATTTTCAAAAAACTCAAAATTTTTTTCAATTTTTTTTTGGGCTTACAGTTTTTTGAATTTTGTAAGTTTTTGATTACAAAAGGCCCTCAAATATTCAAAAAAAAAAAACGTTATTTGAGTAAAAATACGTATTTACGATTCAATTAAGTTCTGTAAGTTTTGCGCGCTTTATTTGCGTGCTTTGTTCGGTCGAATTAGGACGAAAAATCAAAAATTTTAAACCGTTTTTTCTCGACACTGTGAATTTTTTTTGAAATTTTTAAAAATGGTTCAAATCACGGCTGAAACTGCTTTACTATGATCTATAACTCAACCCAACCCGATGACTATTTGTGGTACCTGGTTTTGCGTGGAAAACAAACAGAAAAAAAACTAAAACACGGGTTTTCAATGATCAGAAAATTAATTCACTACATCAAATAGCTTTTGATATCTTTTTACAGATATGAGAATGAATAGATATATAATATATAAAACCGGATGGATTACAGTATTGCAGAGCTGAACAAATTTGGAATTTTTATCCTGTTTTGGACAGTAGCGGCTTCGACATCCTGACTACCCGATGTGTTCCCCTTTGGAACTGTTTTGAGACATCCATTTTTGCTGGCCCTTTTTGCTAACCCTTTTTGCTTGAAATGAGTATTTGGGCGCCAATATACGCTAATTTTGAGAGGGCGCTCGCCGCAAAAAAGAGAACAGTTTGTGGATAAAACTTTCCACAAAGTGCCTGAAAAAGTCTTTTCTGCCTGTTTTATAATGCTTGCCTGCAGCGCACATAATTTGATCAAAATAAGGGTCTTTATCGAGATTTGGATGAGCTCGGAAAATCATTTTGGTCGACTTAAAAAAAAGCAGAATACTTGTCATAAAGATTTGAATGTCTGCTTCCTCGAGAAAATCATCGATTGGCTTCTATATTTACATTCACCACTACATGTTAGACAATAGTTTTTGCCCTGGATTCCATTTAATTGTGTTGGTTGATTTCTTTTCATTTGATTCCTGCACTTTTCCTGCCTCGACACAATTCAAATTTGAACAAAAATGTGTTTTTTAGGCTGTATTTCCAAAAAATTGGCTTCTAAGTCTGGGTTTCCGCCTGTTATGCGGATAATTGAACGTACTTCCAATATATAATAATTGCACCTGGAACATCAAAGTATCTCAACTGCCTATTTGTTCAGCATTGCTTATTTATTTTTGAAGAAAAACGATGCCTATAATTTGAACGTGCGTTTTTCAATTCAATGCCATAAACGTAAAGCATCAAAACTGCAATATTCTGCCGTGTAATTTTACATATGACTATTTTGGTATTACCAACAGCAAATGATTGTGATTTTTTCAACTGAACGCTTTGTAAATGAATTGTCCAGCACTTTCTGATATTTTTCTTACAGCTATCATAATTTTTTTTGTAAATTATTGAGATTGCCTTCAGAATCTTTTTGAGAGTATTCTAAATTTTTTATTTTCCTAATTGAAACACTGCTGAAACTTTTATGTCACTACTCGCCCCAAAATGCCCCCCAAACAGTCAGCGAAGTTATCGGAAGTGAAGCCACGGGGTAAGAATGGACTGGAGCTGGGACCCCCCTCGGAGCGAGACCGGAGTCAGTCGAGGGAGAGGAGGAAGAAGAAGACGGCCAGACTGGAGTTAGTGGCCGAAGTGCCGGATGAACAGGAGCTGGAGACGACACTCGATGAAGCGGAAGAAGTCGACAATAAGTTCCGATCGGAGGCGGACGCCTTGTTAGAAGGTACCATTATCCCTCCCCCTACTCCTCAATTTTTGGGCGCACAAAGTATAATGCAAAAAATATAGTAGAAAAAAACATAACTCGCATTTTTTCTACTCACATTTTTTTTAAAAAAAAACGTGAGTAGAAAAAAAACATAACTCCGGAAGATTATATAAAAACAGGTACACCTTTTTTTAATAAATCTATCTTACATAAAAATTATTATTGGAACCCACTCACTCTCAGAATTTTGCCGAAAATTAACTTTAAAGGATAGGAACCAGGAAATAGAAACCGTATAGACTTAGAAAACAAACGGATTGCCGAGGCTGTTCTGGCCGAAAATAGCAGGCAACTAACACGTGTTACGTTGCGTTTTCATGTGGCACGATTGATGCAAAGCTTGCGAATGAGGTTTTTATTGCGTAAGCTTTTCATCGAAGAAACTTATGAACATTTGATCGTGGAGAAAAACTCAAAAAACAATTTTTGCAAGTTATCTAAATTAGGCAATTTAGTTGATCTAACTTTTTTTTTGATATTCGGTGCAAAGTTGTATTCAAAAAGCGGACCGGCAACGTGTTTAGATGACAGCGATGTTTAACAAAATCTTCTAAGTTGTTTTGATTGTTTTTAATAATTTGCCCTGAAGTAATCAGTGTTTTATGCAAGAAAAGCAGAGAAAAACTCCCATTAGTTAACGAAGATCATACCACTGGCAAACTTTTTTCTGATTGAACGCAGCACATGTTTTTCATTGTAACAATTATGTTGTCCATGTTTAATTCGCGAGAGTAGTGTGATAGTGTGATTAACACAAAAAACACGGAGACCACAGATAACTGTCTTTCAGATCAAAAATCGGACTGGTCTTTTTTCTGCTGTTAAGCAACTGACACCAACTAGAACGATTTCTTTTCCTGGTAATTTGAGTTTGATAAACTTATTCTTGACTAGCATCGATGTATTCAAGGCAATAATAAGCTCTTCATAATTTTTTTTTATTTCTGCAAGCATGTTCAGCGAAGTTTTCGACCATATTAAATAATCTGAAAACATTTTGAGTACGTTAAGCTTAAGCGTGTATTCTCTTGCTATAAGTTAAGCAAACTATGGCTCCTCGTAAAATACTTTTGAGCGCCGAATAACTTGCTGCATCATATAACAGGTAATTGCGCTTTAAAGTAAATCGATAGCTTTTCCGAAAGTGCATACAAATTTGATCCAATTGGCTCAATTGACAATTTTCTAGCTACCACAGTTGTAACAAAAAGATCATATGGAAATACAGGGTGTTTCAAATAAACTGTAATTTTATAAAACGCTATAACTTTTTTTTGAGAAGAGATAAATACACAATTTTTTCTGCACAAGATAGATAAGTGGCGGAGATTTGAATATCTGATAAAATTGTTTTATAAAAGATGCTGAAAGTGTCCGCCGTTTTGAGCAACACAGCTTTGTAATCTTTTCCTCAAATTTCTCAATGACTCTTCGATATTATCGGGCGTTATTGTATTTCGGGCATCTTCTACAGTTTGCATGAGTTCGTCAATACTTCGTGGATTCGCACCATGAACAATTTTCCCCAGATGACCCCACAGCCAAAAATCCAGGGGATTCAGGTCCGGACTCTGAGGTGGCCAGGGTATAGGGGTTCGTCTACTTATAATTCTGTCGTTGAACTTTGTCCCAAGCCAACTGAGTACGCGTCCCGTGCAGTGACATGTGGCTCCGTCTTGCATAAACCATATGCGCCTCAAGTTTCGTCGTTCTCGAAGGACTGGCCAGAGGTCGTGTTCCAGCATGTTCAGATACGAAAACTGGTTCAGTGTTATTGGTCGTTGCTGTTCGTCTACGAACCAAAACGGGCCAAGAACAGCTCCTTGAAGGAAACCCATCCAGCACATCACTTTCTTTTTGCCCTGGTGCACTTTCTTTTTGCGTATTCTCTGGGGTTAACTAAACTCCATCTCCTATCGTTTTGAGAATTTGGAGAGCTGTCGAGCACCCACCACTTTTCGTCTGAGAAAATCACCCGTGATGTGAAATCTGCCGCTGTTTCAATCTTGCTCAAGCACCAGACACCAAAAGTAAGTCTCAAGCCGAAGTTCGTCTCTTTAATTTGGTGTGTTTTGAGCACTTTGTAGGGCTTCATTTTGGCAGCTCTCGCGACTCTCCAAGTTGTGGTGCGGCTCAACCCCAAATCAGCTGCTGCTTTAGTTATTGAATCTTTAGGATGAAAATCAAAGTGTCTTATAATACTGGCATTCGCTTCATCGGTTCCTGGTAACCCCGTTCCTTTTCGATCCTGCCCTTGAAATTTCGATAACCCGCCTCTTTCTTGGAACCGTTTCCACACTCTGATAAACTGCGTAAGTTGAAGTGTTGATGCAACGCGTGGGGCAATGTAATATTCATTGATATATCTTCTCCGAACTTCAGTTGGGGATTCATAAATTGCAAACAAACAAATGATCCGTTTTTCTTCGTTTACTGTGAAAACCATTTCGTTGTTTTCATTTACGTATGAACAAATAGTTTAAAAAATTTTTTGTTGCGTGGAAGCGTGAAATAGTTGGAAAATCGCGGGTATTCACTATCGAGTTCAATTCATCAACGCAGTTTTTGAGTTTTATCAAATCTCCGCCTGTTCTACATAATATCACCGAATTTGAAGTCGAACTGATCAACAGTTATGAAATGAGAAGCTTTTATAACATTACAGTTTATTTGAAACACCCTGTATTTTTTTAGCTGTTGAACTGACTTAACGTTTGAATTTTGCTTAATAAGCTTCCGTTGAAAACTGTTTTTTAAATCCCAAAATTAGTCTGGAGACAAACCACCTCCAGCAAAAAAATATTTTTGTGAAAACATACTACCAGAAATTCAAAATGACCTTTTCAAAACATAGATAACTTTAGAAAAAAATTTGATTTGAAATCTGATTGTGGGGGTTAAGGAAATAAAAGCGAAATTTTTATAAAAATGTTTTTGACTGATATCGAACGAAAGCTGATATCGAAACATCCTAACCTAAGTCCTAGCCTTGTTCACTAGAAATCAGTGGAAAAATTATCTTCGGTTTCATGTCATTTATTCTCGGTTTCGAAAAGAAGAAAAAACTTACTTGCTTGAAGAGTTTAGAGTTTTTTCGGAACAACTTCGGTGATAGTCTTCAATAAAACATTTAAATACCACAAGGAATATATTGATTCGTTAAACTCAAAATATAAAAAAAAATTTTCACATGCATTCTTTATTAGTATTTTTGTGGGGGTTTGAAAATAGCAAGTTTGGCCTTTTTCTTAGGTAATTTGAGCGCGCTTTTTATCTAATACGTTTTATTGTTCAAACTTTCAAAGAAATTGAGGGACTATTTGTGCTCGTGGTGGATTTTTTCTTTAGACAAATTTTGACATTTTTTATGTTTTTGACTTAGGTGATATCAAAATTGTTATTGACTTAGCGGATATCGAATGAAAGGTTCTATCCTAAATCTTATCTTTGTTCACTAGAAATCAAAGAAAAAAATTAACTTCGGATTCATGTCATTTTTTCTCGGCTTTGAAGAGAAGAAAGAACTTACTTGCATGAAGAGGTTTTTTTCGGAACAGCTTTGGTGATTGTTTTCAATAAAACATTTAAATACCGCAAGGAATATATCGGCTCCTTAAACTCAAAATATAAAAAAAATTATTCCTCATGCAACCTTTTTTTTAGTATTTTCCTTGTTCTGAAGTAAATCAAGTGCGCTTTTTATATATCGCGTTTTATTTTTCAAGCTTTCAAAAAAGTGACGGACTACTTGTGCTCAGGGTGGATTTTTTCTTCGGACAAATTTGACTTTTTAACTAGCATTTTTTTGCCGAATTTTTTTACATCACTGGAAAAATATTGTTGCCTTGAGCTCAAATTTATAAGATACTTCACCTGTGATTAATCGTTAAGTTATGGGGGTTAAAATAATGCCAGTTTGGCCAAGTTGGGACATTGCGCGATGAATTTTGTGTTAATTTTCTGTCTTAAAAATCTTTCCAAATTGAACTGACGCATTCTTTTTGGTCTATTGAATATTCGATATATGCAAAACAAATCACTTTGTTTTTTTTACATATCGTTTGGGCGGATGGTTCTTAAAAAACTTCAAAAAAAATTGAAATTATTTCATTTTTGTGAAAATTTAATCAACTATTTTAATTTAAACTGCTCCAAACTTAAATTTGAATACAGTCAGAACATTCAACTCTTCGCCCTGATACAAGAAGTCTTGCTCATTTTACACTGCATTCGATAAGTGTGCTTGTCAAAGCTGCTTCTAAATATCAGCGGTTTTTCCGCCAAAGTTGACAGCGAAAAATTGCTAGATTAAATGAAGCTATCAGAAAGTAAAAAGTTACAACAGTCGTGTAATTTCTTGATTCTTTGATCTTGAGAGTTTTTTTAAAGAAAAAATATTTTCAGAAGGCTTCATATTTGTTTGTTGTCCTCTTCGAGTGACCAAGCATATTTTTGAAGCAAAGAAAGAATTTAATGTTTTTGACTATCTATCTTCTGACTATTACCACTATCGAACCGTAATTAGTGTTGATCATTATTTTTGTAATGAACACTTGACGAAATTGGCTTATGATAATTTTTCCCGAAAAATCAGATTGCATCGATTTATACTATATACAATCACACTTCTAATTCCAAAAAAACTGGACTCAAAGACAAGAAAAACTGTTTCACAGATTTAATGAGAAAGAAGGAATTACCATTCGGTTTTACTGCATAGTTTAAGCTGAGCCTAATTTTCGAAAAACTAAGTTGACATTTGTTTTTCAAATTTTTTCTTTTTGCAGAAATCACGTCGTGGTAACGTTATTCTGTGCTACGTGCATTTCATCCGAGTAAAATTGTTTGTGTTTTGTGGTAGACATCGAGCAGCGGAAGGTGGCGAGACGCAACCGGATGATCCAGGACAAGCTGGACGAGATCAACGGGAGGGTGGAGACGACACTGGGCAACTACGAGGCAGCAGGGGCAGAGGAGATGGGAGGGGCCCAGTTCGTGAAGGACATGCAGGAGCTGATGGAGGTGGCCACGGACGCCGTCAAGAAACGCAAGGTCAACCATCCCAATAAATTGTTCCTTCCTAATCGAAGCAATATGGCATTTTAGATAAAAGTTTCCACCCCTTCAAATTTTATATCTTGAACTAATTTCCACCTCTTATGCAATTGGGGTATTGTTAACAATCTTATGGTATTGGGGCTGGGAAGCGGTTATTAGTCGGCTAGTGGTTAACATACTACCAATTAGAGACATAAAATTGAATCCTGACACCGCCTGACTAAACGTACTCTTATTTTGTAGATTTGGTCGGATTTTTTCATAACTGACGTTTTTACATAACGGAATTATCCACACCTCATTCTATGAACACTCTTGGTCAATTTGATGAGGCAATTTGATTTTTGAACTTTTGAATCAAAGTATTTTTTCTAGGTAAACCTAACTCTCGGTTTTTCCCTAACAAGTACAGAAATAGATGCTGATTTAGATGCTGATTTAATTTAGACAATAATGAATACCTTTTTCAGTACATGCGCGATGTCTCTGTCTTCATCGTCGGCTTTACTTCCGCATGTGAACAGAGACTGAACATTCTAGAACAACTGGATGTGGTAAGTTGCCTTCCTTCTTCCCAAACTCTAAAACTGAATGAAATGTTACATTTAAAGAACAGAACTTACGAATCAATTTTGATGCTCTGGATTTAAACTTTGAGCACCCTGACATTGGCTCAAGAAAACTAAAACAATTATATTTTTGAAGGAAGAAGTCAACTGTTTTACTATGGTAGGGGGTTGTACTTATCATATATGAATGATCAATTTTTTAGTGGTTAAAAAATTAAAATGTTGTAGAAAAATTTACAAAATGTTGTAATTAGCTTAATAACACTCAATTTAAACTTTTGCGTGCTGTAAGTGCTCCCAAAAATCACAGAAGTTTTTTGTGTAAGAAGATAACTTAAATGCTCAGCGTTCCAAGCATCTATTTGGAGAGAGAGAGGCCTCCTCGACATGAATATTTTGTTCTTATGAATATTTAACCGTTTATTTATTTATTGTTGTTGTTGTTGTTTAGTTTTTCAAGGAGCAGGAGAAGCAGCCTGAGATAGAGCACAAGATGGGGGAGACAGACTTCGACTCCATCTCCAAGTCTGTGGAGGAGGCCCTCGAGTTCGCACAAGGTGACTGACCAAGGGATCTAAGCAGTAAAGTAACACAGGCGGCCATGCTAAAATCTCCACATCTTAAGTTTTGGACAGACAGAATTATTTTAAAAGGACTATCTGTCAACTTTCGACAAATGTTGCATCACAAACCTCAAATGGACATGGAAGATAAATCCCGTCTCAAAAATAGTTTTTGCATGTACAGTTTTTCTGAAATGTAAGTTTGAAATCTAAATATAGCGCACAATTGTAATCAAACCTTGTAGGCGGCCTTTAGACCCGGAGACAAAAAATTAGCACATGATTTTGAGTTAGACATGTACTTATGTGACAAATCCATGGAATAATTTCAGGTGGGCTAAATTCTCAAAAGAGGCAAATAGTTTACCACTAAACCACCAACTCAGATAGTTGTTTTAAAATATGTTTATGTCAAAAACTGATGTCAGTTTCTCAATTATTTAATGTTGCGAACAAAAACATTCCCGATAAAGTTTCCAAAACAAGTATTCTCTTCTGAAGGGAGATGATAACATTTTCTGCTGCTGCTAATTTTTGTCTCAAGATCTAAAAAACACAGAAGCAGCAATAAAAAAGCGGTGAACCATTTTTCGCGAAAAAAGAGCTTCGCTCAACAAAATAACTCAGTCTGGAATGTTGGGATATAAGAGAAACGGAATATCCTTCGTCTGTCAGATAGCTTTCGATAGAGCCTCTGCGAATTGCAGAAACCAAAATTAAAATTATGATTTTACCTCATTTCAATCTCGACTCTAGCTTTATTTGAGATATATATGCTGACTCAACTTTTACTTAAGCACGCAATTTTTTTGAAACAGGTGCATTTTGTTTTTTTTAGAACCCAAGACAAAAGTTTAGTAAAGATTTGTAAGCTTGTTTTAGATTTCGGGGATTGCTTCTCTAGGTCCGTTCACACACTCTAACTTAACGGCACTGCAAAGTGGTCCCTTTGGCAGTGAATTCAGCGGGGGAACCGAGAGTCACTACTATCCACAATCCCGAAAGTTTAAGTTGGTCGAAATTATTCTGTACTGTACTCTGTTACTTGTCGCCTTTTTATGCAGCTCTTGAGGCTGTCTTGCTCACGTTCGCCCATCGCAAAAATTTCCAGTAGTAATTAAATTCAGAAATAAATTGGTCCAAAAACAGAAGGCTCTAGGCGGTCCGAATATAATCTAGTAATCTACTTCATTGGAAAGGGTCCGCGATCAATCAACACAATTGCCCAATTGAAAATCGAACTCCAACTAACTCGGCCAACAATTCTCTCTTCTCTAGAGAATCCTAATTATTGAATTACCCACAGTAATTCCACACAATCACTGTCCGAGCTGCTAAAATTAATAGTGTCACAAAGGATCACTATTCTTTTGAGGTACTTTGACTGATCTTTTTACTTCACAATTCCTGATTCTCTAACTCGGAGAACCAGCTAGACTCTCTCTCAGTATCAACTGCTCTCTAACTATTGAGAACCCAACTAATCTCACCAATAGTTATCATGGTCTCACTCTAACTGAGAACCAACTACTCTCATTAGTAGATCAAATTGTTTTATATTTGAATGAGAACCAAATAAATTTAATAGTAGCTCACTCTGTTCGGCCTAAGGGTAGGCTATTTGTTATTTTATATAATGTTTGTCTATTTGAGTTTCAGTTATACTTAGAGTTATGTCGTCCTTACAAGTCCTGACATTTACTTTGGTACCCATTTCGCGAGGTCTTAACTGATTCTTCCTCTGACGACACCAGTCTTCAATTCCAAGTTCTTTATAGCATCTCTAAGTAAGTTGTGCAAATATCAAGTCCATTTTCACCTCCGATCCGAGTTATGTTTAACAAACCAATCTCCCAAGGTTTTTGATTAATCATCCCAAAAATATGTCGACCTCTCGAGGGTAGGGTAAGACTCTTTTTATGGGTCGCTACTTCATTCCAAGCATCTAAAATTCTGATCTTTACTTTATTCGAATCCCGACCTTCTGGCTATCAGGGGAACGTAATTCGCTTATTAGGGGTCAAATTGTGCTAAAAAGTCATATCCGGGGAGTTGATTAATTATCTCGTCCATTCATGTTATTTAGGAAATCTACTTCCCATGCTTTGCTTCTATTAGTACCAATTTCCTCTGGGACTACTCTTCTTTAGTCAGACTGAATTTCTAATAATAGCGCACTCGCCAAGCTAAGTTGAACTCAATGTTTACCAAGTCCAATATAATTAGTTCCACTACTTCAATCAAACAATTTGAAAGTTATATCTCTTTCAGCTTCTGCTCCATTTCCCAATAGGTGAAATCCTCCCAAACATTAGTAAGGTGACCAATTCTCATTCCCAAGGGTTGGAGTCGGGGAATACGCATTTTCCGGTGTTAATCCTAAGGTTTTCCATGCGATTTTAGTCCTAATAGCCCCAAAGGTCACTTTGAGGTCACTCCGGGGTCACCCGGTTCAATCATCTACATTCAGGTTTAGAATCTCATAGGGGTCCGACCTACCAGGTTTCATTCGTATCCCGTTAATACTTCGCAAGTTATCCCATTTTTTGTCCATTATTACTTTTCCCGGGAAAAAGGCTATTAACACCGGAAGGAGTCATCGCAGGGGTTTAACTCACTACGAGTTTTTCTGAAGATGAGTTGTAGTGTCTATTGCCGCCATAAAATCAATTTGCACTCGCTCATTATTTTGCGTAAATTGCCTATTTCCGGTTCCAGGGGTACTTTTCCCAAGTGCTAATAACTTCAGGTTCAACCGCCGGATATGGCTCAAATTATTAAACATGAGGTATCTCGTCACTTCCTATGATATCCCAAAATTTTAGCTCCCTGCGTTCAGTCGGGTCTGAGAAACGACTTCCGGAAGTCGGGTGGGGACTATTTGTATGAGGAATAGCACCGAAAGTAGGGGTCCAGGGGGTCGGGGGTTCTAAACTTAAGCTTCCACCAACAAGGTCTATAACATACTATATTTTGGTTTCATTCCAACTGCTAGTTACCGAGTTCTGATAGGGCTATTTACACTTCCGGGAATCGTTATCACTTGTGCTCGGGGGGTCTGAGGGGTCTGGATTTTTGCATGCCCGGGTCAAAAAATTTCTTGTATCCGCCATAGGAGTTTCATAAAGCTAGCCCCGGTAGTTTCCAAATGGGGGGATTTACACATTTGGTACCGTTTCCGAATCCTGACTAGTCTTTGTTTGTTTTGGTCAACTTTGCAACTTGACCAATTGCTTATTTCACTACTTACCGTATTCAAAACCGAGCTAGGTACTACTAATTGACCTTCACTACACTGCATGCATTTCTAAAGGTAAACTCCCAATTGAACTCTAAAATTGGCAAAAAAGTGGTAGGATCACCGATCTTACACTTGTACTTTCGTTTTTGAGAACTTTTCGAATAGTCTCAATGCTAAACTCTCAATTTTGCATTTTTTTGTGACTATCCGTGAACTCGATCAAAATGTTCTGGACTGAAAGACAAATAGTTTTGATTCCAACACAGTAGTTTAATTAGCAACGTTTCAAAATAATTAAAAGGTTGAAAAAAGTTGACAACTTTTTGATGGTAAGGAACAGAAAAATCTCGAGGCAATTTTTTCAGTATTTTGTTATTTCATTATTTTGATTGGCAGGCAATTGTTAATCCTCTGGGCTATCAGCGATTTTTTTTTGTCTTTTTGCGCCTTTTTTGTTTGAATATCTCAAAAAACTCTAAATGCCATTTTTGATATCAATTTTGTATCTTATTTCTATTTCGACCAATACCTGAACCAAGAAAAACTGAATACCTGAACCAAGAAAAACCTATATATACATATACGTACTCTTGTTTTCATTGGAAGCAACTTCCGGATCTCTTTAAAAACGATTCTTAATATATAAAAATTAATGAATCCTGTGTTAAAGGATACATCAATGTCAATTCTCTAACGATTTCTCTGATCCCTCTGAATAAGTGAGAAAGTTTGTCAAAAAACCAATTAAAAAATTTAAACTTTTCTCTTTTTTTTGTAGGTAGCATGGGGAAGCTGGGGGACCTGAACAAGGAGATAATTGTGGCTGTGGAAAATGCAGTGACTGCCAGAGAAAGAGCCAAGTGAGTTCCAGTCCAAGTAGAGTCTCCAGGAGACAGCAAACAGACTAAAAGTTTGACTGATTTTGAAACAGACAGAAAGTTGACCGATTTGTTGCTTATTATTATGTGTGTCAATACAATGTGGGTTGTTTGTTGAGTGAAGGGGCAACCAGAGGCTGAAGAAGCAGCTGGACAAGGCCAAGGAGGACATCCAGCAACTCACAGACAAACTAGTGGAGGTGCAGGCAGGTAGGAGGTACAACAAATACTTATGTAATCACCGAAACAAACCAAGTCAGTGTTGTTTAACTAAAGTCTCTTTTTTGAATGCTGAATCATGCAAAGTGCCGAAGAAGTTGAAAGAAAATTGATCCATGAACAGATTTCTTTAACTGCCTGCAGAGTAACATTGGAGGAACGGAGCTGAACAGATGGTTATAAATGATAACTTGGCTTGCAATAAAGAGAATAAAAGGAACTAGAAAGTGTAATCCAAAATGGAGTAGTTGAAGATGGATGAATGGGATTCTTAATTCTTTTCCTTTCTTTCCAGAGCTGGATGAGAAACTGCAGGAGATGAAGAGAGTGCAGAGACAGAATGAGGAGCTGAAGATACACGCCGAGAGGGCCAAGAAACTGGCCGAAGACCTCAAGGTAGGCACAAACAACAACAAACAACCAACACACACATCGAAACATTAGCAATAGATGCTACAAACCTAGCCTTGAAATAAGTGCCCCTTTTAGATGATACGATCCAGGTGCGAATATAAGGTTAAATATCACGTCCAGTGATATCTTCACTCCGCCCTATTGATCCTTCTGTTAACATTGTTTCACGATATCCTTTTTGGCAATTTAAATTAGTTCAAGATTCATGAAGTGAATGAAAAAAAAATAAGATTCAAAACCTTCCAAAAAACGCCCCAAAAATTGTATGAAAATTTGCTTCAAGTGAAAAGATTTATGCCGAAATAGTCTTCTTAAAGCTATATGCGACAGCTCGGATAACCAATTTGGTTGTTGTAAAAAATCACCTAAACGGTAGATGCATTCCTGATACAAGGAAAACAACAACATTATTTGTATTCTATATTACCCACATCATATGTTGGTAATTTTCATAATTATTATCATATATTGTTTTACACTCGAAATTAGAAGAATAGTCAAAAATTTCAACACGTTTTTCTCGACTCTAAGAAGCGTTTTTCGAATCACGACTGAAAGTGTTTTTCGAGTCACTCAACTTTCTCCTAAAATTATTTGCGGTAGCTGATTTTGCGTGGAAAACAAGAAAAAAGAAAAAACACGAATACAATAGCCCATCACATAATCAGTAGATAATTCAACCGAGCTGATACGTGATCCAAACTTGCCAGTCCAGATTAATGAGCGGTTAATGCGAACGCCTATAGAAGAACTGCCAGGTCAATGAGATACTTTTCAGTGCACTCTGATGACTTTGCTTATTGTTTTTTTTTTCGCATAAACTGTTCAGCGCAAATGAAGAGCTTGTTACAGTTTTAGACGATTCTCGTTGGTTGAACGTTTGGGTCTTTTCTGTTATTCGGCCCAAAAACTATTTTTTTTTTTGCTAATTGGAAAGTTTGGTCATGATGCTGGAATGTGATTGGTTGAAACTAATATCGGCGAAAAAATCTCCTTTGTTTTCAATTAAAACAGAAGCTCATCCGACATTTTGATCTTACATATACATTGTTTAGTTCCTCTATTTGCATTTTGAGCGCTGATTAGCATTTTTACACGCATAAAACTGCCGACATGAAAAATTGGCAGAAAAACGATAAAAATAAAAATTTGTACAGGCGACTCGAATTAATCTCGGGATGAAAATTGACCAGGCCTACTCTGACTTGTAAGGGCTTTGACCGAACACTGACCACCACATAGAGAGTTGACATAACTTATAGTATAAGTTCTTATTTCGGTTTATTGGTACGTCGACTTATTGCACTAGCACCGTTTGCTTTTTGTCAGTGGCGCTTGCAAAAATTGCCGATGTCGCATTTGAAGACAAAGGCTGCATTAAACTAAATCTAAGAGGAAGTGCTCTAAGCCCGGGCTGATGTCGCAGAGATTTTTAATGCTGTTTTAGGCACTGATTTGTGGTCACATATCCATTACCAGGACAGAAACATAGATAAAATTTGGAATTAGCGCAGGTTTACCTCTAAATAAGCGCAGATTTTTGGAAAAAACATTGTCACATTGAGTTATTTATGGTTCAGGGCAGAAATTCAGATAAAAATCATTGCATTTTCAGTCCCTGATCAGTGGCCACTTATCCGTGACCAGTACATTTGCATCAATGCTTGTTGATATAATGCTGAATCAGTGAGAACTATTTCTGGGACGTCAACTTGGGAGTGCATATGGTAATCGACTCACATGCTAATCGCCACGCCCTTTTGAGAAAATCCTTCTGATTTTGCAATGTTTTATAACTGATTTTAATGAGCTGAAACACATTGCTTTCGTTGGGACCAATCGGTGCTCATATCTGATTGGGTAATAATTATTAATTTTTATCATTCAATTTTGTCCCTCTTGTAAAAATTTCAACTTGATTTTTTGCTTGTGTACGCTTGCAGTTAGTAAGTTTTGCAACAGGGATGAGGAGCGAGACATCGATTATTTGATGCACTGGCAAAACGTGTAAGAGGAACGAGTTCCGCCGTTTTCGAATGGAAGAGTTATAAGCAACCACTTTATATTTTTTGAAGAAGATTGAATGTTTCTTCCTCGCTTTTCATATTCAAATTTGTAATGAGTAAATGGTGGTTCATTTAATTTGAATTAACTGATCTTTACAAGGTTTCCACCGGATACTGGGACTCCGACAGCCCAGGCGATGTCCTCAAGGTACAAGGATTGCAATAGAGACAGTTTTCTATAGTGTAGTTTACAAAAATATATAAAAACCAATAAGTTTACCAATTGCAAATTCATGCTCGACCTAAAAAGATTTCTGAATGTTACTTTCCCCTTTATTTAGGTTCTTGACAACGTGGAAGATATCAGGGTAACCATTGAGTTCCAAATTGAATTCCTTGTGTGCTTGAATCTTTTGTTGTTTACAAGGATTTTCTAGTGCCATCGCCACCAGACTCGAAATTCGAGTGTGTGCTATCAGCGATTCTCTATCTTCTGTTGATTCCTTAGCTATTGATTTTAAAAAAAGTTTGGAAGAAGGTTCAACCCAACAGTTTTTACCAAAGAATGTAGCTTTGTGTATACAATTCAAGTCTCAAAATTACGTTTTTGCATTACAAAATGCTCTAGTTTATATAAATTAATCTGGCCAAACTTTTTGCAGCATTCTATAAAGCATGATTTTAATGAATATTGTTCAATAATTTTTATTATAGATCAAATTTTTTATTGGTAGAATTAAATTAAGAACTAGTTTTACTATATAGGATTTTAAAGCTCGAGATTGTGTGTTTCTTTCCTATCATATTTATCTTGCTTATACTCTTTGGCGAACTCAAAGCCTAGTCCCCCTCTAGAAAACGGCTTGAACTAGATATAATGAATGATGAAGTGAATTCTGAATTTTTTACCCATATCCAGCAGCACATCATAGGTTCGAATCCCGAGCCTGTCCACATATACTAAGATGATTAACAAGTTGTTCTCTGGACAGGAGAAGGCGCTGGAAGTGGACATGATGAAGGAGGAGTTGAAGAGTGTGCAGGCGGAGCTGAGCCAGAAGGATGCCATCATCTCTGGCCTGCAGGAGGAGATCCAGCGACTGGAGGAGGAGAAAGACGCCATAAGGGAGGAACTGCTCAGTGTCATTTCTGTCAAACAGGTAGGCTAAAACTGCTTCTTTATTTTCAGTTCATTCTCAAACTATAGCATTCTCAAAATGAGCTTCCATAAAGCTAAAACTTCAACTTCACTCTGTTCTGCTGACTCTCTCGCATGAATTAACTAGATGCTGGATCTAAAAAAGCACTCAGTATTTGACTACAATCGTTACAAAATATCAATATTTTGTCAACATTTTCATTTTTTTTTGTTTTTTAATGTAAATTCTAAAAAAAAAATTCAATCAGATTTTTTGTGGCTCAAGTTTCTTTCAATTCGTTTGCCAAATCCAAAGCAAATTACGTTCTCTAAAAACCAACTTAAAAAAATTGAAACTAGCTCAGAAAAAAGTCAATCGTTCGCTGGTTACTTATTGGAATTTTGGGGAATAGCCGAACCTTAGAAGGAGAGCAACAATTGCAGAGATAGTAGATAGTTGGTTTTCAAAGTTAGTGAGATTAATCAGAACTGAATCAGAGAATAGTTAATTCCCATAGACAGAGAACATTCTTGCGAAGTTAAAGAGATCAGTTAAAGTACTTCAAAGAAATAGTGATCCGTAGAGGAATAGTGAGCTGAGTATTTGTGTGAAATTACTGATTATAATTGATTAGTGAGGGTTCTCTGGAGAGAGAGAATCGTTAAGTTGAATTGACTGGAAGTTGAATTGCAATTAGGCAATTGTGTTGATAAATCGCGGACCTTTTCTAATGATTAGTTTATTAGATTATATTTTTGCCACTCAGAAACCTCTGTTTGGACGTATCTTTATCTGAATTTAATCTTTTTTTTGGAAATTCTTGGGATTGTGAGTGCCAGCAAAACAGCCACAAGAGCAGTGACAAAAAGGGGCAAGCAACATACAGAAAAATTGCAACCAATTTAACCCTTTCGGAACTGTAGATTGTACTGAATCTCGGTCGCACCGCTCATCTCACTACACAAGGGACCACTCTGCCGTGTCGTTGAGAGAGAAGAAGAATGAATGTAGAGAAGCAATCGCTTACATCTACAGTTTTTTTGCTGCTAATTTTATCTTGATTTTCCATGAATCGAAACAAAATTGAGAATTTATGCAGTAACAAAAATAAATTCAAGACAAGCCGTATTCAAAATTTGCATACCTTTAAAAAATGTTGAAGCTCTCATCAAATGTACCCTTAAAAAACAAACTAGCAATATCTTGCATAGTTTATGAACGACAATGACTCTCAAAAGCTAAAAAAATATGAGATTTTACCAAAAACAAAAGAAACACCTACACTAAGCAGTGATATACGCCGCTATCAAATTGAATTTTTATGTTGGAACGTTTTGTATTCGCTCCACGCTCACATGTCAAATCTTACTTCTCTAACGCGTTTTCAGTTCAACAGTTGGCATCACCACGAATTTTGGAAAATTTAAAACTTCTTTTAACTTTTCCAGTCCAAAAATTAATATTTCAACATCTTAAACTGAAACTAATTTGCTTCAAAGTGATTGGCTTAAATAAGCAATCAAATTTCAGCACCAACCCAAAACGTTTTGCTCATGGTTTTAAGTCGAATTATAAATCAGCCGAATTGGTCAAAACAATGGATTTTTGCGGTAAATTCTTCAGTTTTTTTAAACATGAGCTGCTGTGTTTACCCAAACGAGAAAAACACACCGCAAATAACCAATCAGTGCTATCTATGTTTATTTTCTGTAACTATTCAGTGAGTATTACAAAAATGCATAATTAAGATACTTGGGCAGCATAAATTAAAGTAATGTTAACATAGAAAAAAGCGTTCTAGTTCGGCTGATGCTTATATTAGTTTCTTTTTGCTGCTGGTTAAACTTTTCAATGTACTCTCGAGCGCAATTCAAAAAACAATGGATGCAATGAAATCTGGTGTTTTTGGTGTTATTGATTCGAAAGCACTTTTTTAGAATTAAGTAAAATGAAACAAAGAAACTATCAAAAAATGGAAGAAACAAGGGGCGGATTTAAGGGAAGGGGGGGTTTGGCGGACGCTCCTCCCCCCTCAGGGATTCGACCCCCTGCCGACCAAAAAGGTCCCCCCTTTGATACTTTTTCAGAAATCCATTTTTGGCCGACCGACCCTAAAATTTTTCTAAAGGCGCCATGGGCGCCAATATATACTAACTTTGAGGGGGGGCGCGCGCCAAAAAAAACGCGATTTTTCTGTCAAAATTTTTCAAAAAGTGCCCAAAAACGGCTTTTTTTTACTGTTTTTTAAAAAATTTGCAAAATATTTTGAAAATCCGCCCCCCCTCGAGAAAATCCTAGATCCGCCCCTGGAAGAAACCCCAAAACTTTTACTCAGTACCCTCGTTTTTCGATTATTTCACGATGTGGGAAGGAAGTATGGCCCAGGATAAATTTTTCCAGCCAATTTTGACTACCTGAAAGAAAACTTGTATAATAAAAGATTAATAATAAAGCACCGTTGATTGTTAATTGAATTCTAAAAAACTAAAGAGATTTTGTGTCATTGTCGAGAATAACTAGTCAAATTTTTCGCTTTCTTTTTGTTGATTTTCAATTGGTTTTTAGACCAATTTTTATTTTGAGTCCAAATTTGTTTAAATTAAAAGTAACCTGGTTTAACTAGTTCGTGAATTTGACATTTGAAGTTGACATATTTCATTCTTCCCTATCCCCTCTCCTAAAAAGAATAACAAAATCTTTTATAAAAGAAGCTTTTTGATAATTTTAAGTTTCTTGTTGGATCCGTTTTAGGACACAATCGAAGCCCTTGAAGAGAAAGTTAGAGACATGGAGTTGGAACACGCGAGGGAGATGGACGCCCTGAAGGCAGAGCACGAGGAACAGATGGAGAGTGCGAGACTGCAGTTCGAACAGCAGATGCAGGAGGAGAGAGAACTCATGGCACAGCATAGTGCCAACCTGCAGGTATGACTACAAGCCATAGGTCCCAAGTTCGAATCCATGTCAAAATGGTTTTCAGACTCTAATTTTCCCGCTCAGACTTCAATCTTTGTATCATCAAAAAAACTTGGTTATAAATTTTTCAATTGGAAATTGACGTTGTATGACCTGATAATTCTAAATCAGGACCGTAGGTGTCCGTACATTTTTTTGCAAGGTGAATTTGATTTTAATTTTCCTTATTTTGACGGAGTTTTTTACCATAAGAAACAAAAATTGAGAGATACATTTAGAGTGAATGATTTAGCCTATAAATCCACAAGTAAGTTCAAATAAGCTAAAGAAGAGTTTTATAAATAGTTACTCCAAATAGATTAGATTTAGTTTAATCTGAATAATGTTTGTGTTTCGAAAGATTTCCGAAAATCTCCGTTTCAAAGTGAAATCTGTAAGTAGTTTTAGTCACTCGAGAGTTCCCATATTTAGTATTCACAATCTATATCAGAAACTCCAATTTGCAATAGTAAATTCCGATTTCAGTTGAATATGATAACATATTTGATCTTGCTAAGTATAGTAAGAGAGTGGATAATAGAGGTCACACCGAAGGTGACAGACACACCGTTGGCTGGAAACTGCATGTATTTAATTAGCACCAATAGAGAGACAGATGATTGACATGTGATTTGAAATGATGAAAAATTGAAACAGATATAAATGGCACTATATGACATTTCCCCTCTTGTAAAAAATTTGAAAAATTGTAAAAACTGAATGACTGAAGTTGCGCGTATGTATATAGATTGATGATGATGTTAAGTACTCAAAAGAAAAGCTAAATTTAACTATAACTGCAACTAAATTTTAAACAACATAAATACCACTGAAGGCGATAAACTATTGAGTTTTTGGTAGACCCTTATTCAGAGCAACCAGCCCTCTCCCTGGACTCTAGCAAATTTTAACAGGTTTATTGTTGACTTCCTTTTTGATTTTTTTCATTTTTTCTACTTCTTACCCTCAGCCATTTTCTTTGAGATGTTGTCGATCATGACCCCCCCCCCCCCAATTTTGTACGGCCGTTTGCTTCCGCCCGCTCTTTCGCGATGTAGTAGTTTCGCCGCTATCATTCGAATACTGACTTTTATACGACACAAATCGCTGTCTCGTTCCACGTTTTTTCGTCGTTTCGGTCTCGCTTTTCTTCGTTTCCCCCGGATTAGTTTTTTCACTGTTCGCCTCTGCCATGTCCCTCGGTACTGACTTCGCTAAATCCGTCGGCAATATCGTTGTTGACGCTGATGGTCGTGCATTATCCTGATGCATGTCAATTTCCGCCCCTTGCGTGGTGGCCGATGCCACTGGTGCCGCTTGCTCCCCTCCAGAACCGGCAAAAATGCATGACTGCTGTTTCCTCTTTTGTTGATGGACAGTGGAACTTTCTCGCTGTCGTTCTCGCTTTCTGATTCACTAATCGGATAGAATCTGCGGCTTGTCGTTTGCTTTTTTTAAAGTTCTTGGCGTGGTAGATTTCGTTGCTCCCGTTTTGCTCTTCTTTTTCGAAATTTCATTTTTTTTTCATGATTTGAGGCGTAGGTGGCTGAGGAAGTTTTTCAGGGACTTTCTTGGATGGTTTTTTTGACGATGCAACCGCTAATTTCCTAAGAACAACGCCATTGTCTAGAGTAATTGTGTGATTGCTTGTAGTTTTTACCTTAGCATTAATTTTTCTATACCTTTGGAGATTCCGATCTCCCATGCGCTGGTACAATTGGCCTGACGGCCCTGGTCTTGAATCCAATGTGTTCGACCAATCCAAATGCTGAAATGAAGGTTTTTGTGAGGTTTCTTAGAACAGTATTTGCTTCTCTGCATGGTGCGCTTCAAACGGTGTTGGTTTAGCCGTAGCGTTTATAGAAAACCTAAGCGCCCCAAGTGCTCGTTCCAACATTTTTCCCAACGCCTCCGGATTTTCTTCTTTCGCGTACGTAAGAATTGAGTTCTTTAAAGTTCCTATTAATCTCTCCACGCATCCCGTAGCGCGATTGTTATTCACAAGCGATTCTACTATTTCGATTCCTTCCGTGTTACAAAATCGTTTAACTTCGTTAGACGTGAAGTTTGTTCCCTGATCTATGTGATTAATTCGGGGCACACCGTTGGTTACATTATATGTTCTCAAAAGTTTAAGAATTTTCTTAGGTTTTTCATTTGCAAATACCATAGCCGATGAACAGAGAGAGAAACGGTCCATTGCTACAATACCGTTTTTTCTTGACTCGTTTAGATAATTAAAGGGACCCCAAAAACCAAATTGTACGGCTTCTTTAGGTTCCTTAGGTTCTACAACTTGTCCCATATCCTGTTTTGATATTAGGTTTTTGAGGTTCTTACCCGACTCTGTACATTCCGTACAGTTCTCCGCCTTAGAAGCTATGGAACGGTAGATATACGGGTACCAAATATCCTTGGCGGCCTGGAACATGTTTGATTTTCCATGATGCTAATAATCTATACGGTTGTTAATGGCTGTAGTTAGAGAGTTCGGAATCACAAGTTTGTCGTCCATCCACACAACGTTCTCTCGTACACAGATACCGTTTATGAATTGCGCATAGTAACGGTTCATAGCATAAGTTTTGGCATGAATGTTTGGGTCCCTTTCTCTTATCATCTCTTTTATAGCACTTAGTTGAGGATCGGATTGGTAATCGCTGTTGTTGATATTGGTATTTCTTTTATTTCGTCACTACGAATGTGTAAGCAATGGTGTCTTTTTCAAAATCGCTCTAGTTTCCGAAAATTTCTATCCATGGTTTTTCAATAAGATGATTGATTTTTGACAACTTGATTTGAAATTCATAATAGCCCCGACGAAACTTTCATCCAATTTAATTGACCGGCGGAGTATTCCACGTGCTTGTTTTTTATTGGCTTATTCATTCTCGCATGACACGACGCGAATTGTGTGACGAAAACTTGCATAACTCATGCGATTTAGTTAGTTGCTTTTGATGGGCGAGAAATACCGGTTCCGCGGCGGAATTGTTCTGATCATATCCCAAGGCGCTACGTATTGATCTAATTTTAGCCACGGTGAACATACTATCACACGCGCTAACCGGCACCGCGGCGCCATTTGGATTACGAGATAAGTAATCTGCCAAACCAATTTTCGCCCCTGTCTTATGCTCTACTTCGAAGTTAAAGGGAACCAAACGATCTAACCATCTTGTAAGGCGGCTGAGTATCGTCTTATTTTTCTTATTATTTCCGTTTAAAAGGATACTAAAGCTTTATGACCAGTGATTAGGTAGAACTTTCTGCCCAACACATTGTTTCGAAAATAATCGGCCCCCATACCACCATAGCAAACGAAATGGGCCTCTACCCTTCGGGGCCTAACTTTTCCAGCACCGCCCCCAATCTATGGTGGCTTGCGTCGCGAACAATGCAAATGTCACGATGCACATCAAATTGCCGTAGCTTGACAATGTTTGCCATTTGCAGTTTCAAATTTTCAAATGCCGTCTGGCACTCCTTTGACCATATAATTTCATTTTTCCGACTAAGTAAAGGACGTAGTGGAGCGGATGTTTCGGCTAGCGCTGGTAGACAGTTATGTAAACTATGGATGGAGCCCATAAAAGACTTGGGTGTGACAACGTCCGTGGCGGTTTCAAGCTTTCTATCGGTTCGGTTTTCTGCACCAACGGTGTAATTCCCATCGATATAAATTTGTGCCTCAGCCACTCGCAGTCTTTTTGTGCAAACGTGCACTTTGATAATTTTAGCGACATGTTTTCCTTATCTAGTTTGCGCAAAATTTTCTGAACAGTGGAGATATGATCGATTTCCGACCCTTTAGTTACCACTAGAAGGTCATCGATGAACGCGTGGGCCTGAGAAAGCTCGGAAAAAATACTATCCATTGTTCATTGAAATTCCGCCGGCATCGTTGTAAGGCCGTAAAAACCTGTTTCAAAACGGTACGTGCCGGTCGATTTTCACCCAATAAGTGAAGAGTTACACTGGACGCTCGTATCCGCACTTAGAGGAAGTTGCCCATACGCGTACGTCAAATCCTTTGTTGAAAAGAAAATCTCCCCCGGTTTGTCCGACAGTATCCATTAGCTCTTCAATATTCGGCATTTAGTACTTGTTTTTATGAACTTGTTTGTTCAATTCTCTAGATTCCAATGCTAATTTAACTGACCCATCCTTCTTTACTGTAATAACGATTGGCGAAACGAGGTATTTATCCAAACATTCATTCAATTTTTCAATATGTCCCTGTTCCAACAATTTCGTAATTTCTTTACCTATCTTTTCTTGTAATGTTTTCGAAACCGCCGTCCTTTTGTTGCACTGTGTTTAGTTTTTCAAAAAATTTTGCCTGTACTTTGTAGGTCTTAACTTTTCCTGCTCTGTTAAAAAGTTTCCCAAATTGTTTACTGAAATATTCCTGCCACGGGGTCAATTGTGGTCCCACATCGTCCGCCGCATCTTGATCAATCGCCATCACCGTGCCTTCAGGCCGTTGTTGGATGAGTTTCAGCCCCAGTTTTTCCATTAAGTCTCGTCCAATTATCGATGGTCTGTTTCCTCCTATTACTCGTATCCTTGCCGTTGTGTTCCATCTATTTGGTTCCAGTTGTACTGTCATGGCTCCAAGCAACTTCAGTGGGTTGTTACCATAGTCGCGGTACTCCGTGTCCTCTGGTGTCAACTTCTACAATTTAACGTTTGGTGCACTCAAGGTACTTTTTAGTTCTCCCACCGTAAAAATTGAAATAGGCGATCCGCTGTCTATCCACACTCGCGTAGTTTTCTGTTAATCTTTACTGATAACTGCGATCCCGCCACTTTGAGCTCGGTAGCCTTTTTGGATCGAATTTACGTAGTCGCCCGAACTGTCTGAGTCCCAGGAGTGCAATTGAGCAGGCACATTGGACCAGTCTTGATCCACCCAGCCCACCGAATTTCCTAGCTCCAGTGGACCATCCTCCGCGTTGTCGGTGTAGTCCAAAAGTTCCCCGTCTTCTTCTTGGATCATATGTACTCCCCCTCTTCCCCTACTGAGTGTATTTTTGCTTCGGCAAGCCCTTTCAAAGTGTCCAATTTTTCTGCAGTGACTACTTATAACATTCTTCGCTGGGCATTTACTCATATGCTCTGGCGTAAATACGGGTTGATCGCAATTGTAGCATTTCCTTGTTTGATTGAATCGCCCTCCTCTCGCAAATCCGCGTCCACAATGTGATCCTCTTCCTCGTTGCCGTGGGTTTCTGTTTCCGCCTCGGATAATTCCGACCGGTTCCTGCTTGATCTTTAGACTACCTCCCGATGGTGTTGACGATGTTCCTCCTCCGGTGTTTGTAGAGACATAAGACTTTGCATTTAAATTGCCTCTCTCGTAGGATAAAACTATTTTGTACACTTCTTCCGGCGTCTTCGTTGATCGACAACGTTCATACTGTGCTTCCCGATTGTTCATATTAACAATGAAAACATCCCGCAAATTCCGATCTTCCAATGTGCCAAAGTTGCACCTCGATGCCAATCCGCTGAGAACTGAGTGAAATTGCTCAAGTGACTCGTTGATTTGTTGTTTTCGTGATAATAGCTGGAAAATCTCATAAATTGTATTTCTTTCCTTTTTATATTCTGCCTGCAATGCGTCTACTACCCTCGGATAGCGTATTGCCCCAAGGTCCATATGTGGCCGTCATTCATGGAATTCCTCCTGCCCTTTCACCCCCAGGCGCAGGTATAGGTTTGAGATTGACGTTCGCTCGCAGGTCATTCTGTTCTTGCCATCCACTTCCTCTGCCAATGCTGCCATCTGAGCCTCTGTAAGTGATCCATCAAAGTAAAAGTTCTTAGGGTTAATTTCGTGTTTGGCCACCAATCCCCATTGAAAGCGTGTGTGCCAAAATTCCCACAGCAATGGCGGCTCACCGCATTTCGTGGGCCAGAATCCAGTTATTCCCAATGGGTTCTTCCCCCACTTGGGCCTGTTGGCTGCGGCATGTGGAAACTCCGATTTGCAATAGTAAAATCCGATTTCAGTTGAATATGATAACTAACTTGATCTCGCAAAGTATAGTAAGAGAGTGGATAATAGAGGTCACACCGAAGGTGACAGACACACTGTTGGCTGGTACCCGCAGGTAATTAATTAGCACCAATAGAGTGACAGATGATTGAAATGTGAATTGAAATGATGACGAATTGAAACAGATGTAAATAGCACTATATGACAGCAAGGTGAATTTGATTTTAATTTTCCTTATTTTGACGGAGTTTTTTACCATAAGAAACAAAAATTGAGAGATACATTTAGAGTGAATGATTTAGCCTATAAATCCACAAGTAAGTTCAAATAAGCTAAAGAAGAGTTTTATAAATAGTTACTCCAAATAGATTAGATTGAGTTTAATCTGAATAATGTTTGTGTTTCGAAAGATTTCCGAAAATCTCCGTTTCAAAGTGAAATCTGTAAGTAGTTTTAGTCACTCGAGAGTTCCCATATTTAGTATTCACAATCTATATCAGAAAATAAAACATTCAAAATCACTTATTCACTTAGCTCCCAATTGTTAGGCAAATTTTTATATGATTGTCAAATTGCAGTAAGGAAATCTTCCTTTTGCTCATGATAGTTTCCAAGACAATTTTTAGCAGAAAAATCGAATTTTTATAGGTTGAGAAATGAAACTGACCCGAAATTTTGCACAAGGTTGTAAATTTTTTCTCAAAGTTTTATTATTCCCTGCATCCGAAAGCACTAGCTTAAAAGAATTGCGGGGTAAAACGGTTTACGACCATAAGCTACCATGAACCTGATGCAGGGCGCGCAAAGACCACGTTGGGAGTCGAACCAACAATCTCTTGATTGAGAGTCATTTAAATACTAGCCACTTCATCTTAGCTTCACCTTGAATTAAACATTCCCTGGATGGAACATGAGCCAATAATTAGTTTTGCTTTCAGTCGGAGCTGGATGAGACGAAGAGCCAGTTCGAACAACTTCAGGCCGAAGCGAAGACGATGAGTGAAGAACTCGTGAGTTCATATTTGCAATTTACTCTGCATAATTTACTCTGCTTAGATTGAGTTGACATTGAAAACAACGAATTCGTATCTCACAAATACTTAGTTGTAAGATAAAAACTGTATCTGGCAAAATCTGAATTGTACCGTAACGACTTTTTGTGGGTTCAATAAGTTATTTCTTTTTGAGTAAAATGGAATAATTTTTTGATCTAAAACTTGACAGGCGTTGGTTCGAAATCCCAAATACCAGGTAGGCCGCCTATATGCAGCTCATTGTTGCACTAGACTCCGTTATCATCTTCAGTTAGAATATTAGAACATGTGTTTAAGCCATGTCTGTCACATGACAAAGTATCCATTTTATTCCCGTACCATAAATCCCATAAAGTGATCATATCTCCTGCAGTTATGAAATAGACTTGAGCATTTAGAGACTTGAGATACTTAAGTTGTATTTAAGTTTTTAACTTGCATCAGTTTCTGCGTTCCACTTTACTCAAACATTGCTTTGTTTCAGGACCTTTTGAAGAACAAAAAAGTGGTAAGTTTTGCTTCTCAAATTATCTTGTTTCAAAATCATTTTCTTCTCTTTTTAATCTGATCCTTTTTCAATTTCTGTTTTTAAAAGCAGTTCAATTTAAACTCTGAGGAGGAAAAAATAAATCAGGAGGCGACAAATTTTCCTAAAAAGGAGGTTTCTTTTGTTGCGAAGAAACTATTCGTGACTAAAGGAATCCAGTGCAGCATTCAGAGACCTAACCGAAATGCGCTCACGCAAACTCTAAATAACAGCAAAAGCGCCGTCAATGTAGCAGCTATGACACAAAAGCTGGTCGAAATTGAGATCCAGGTTATTTTAGCTAGGAAAGAAAACTAGAATAGATGTTGGATAGCTTCGAATCAAACTTTTCCTTTAGCGTCTTCTTCTTAGCAAAGTAGAAAAATCAGTGCACATTGGAGCTTTCAATTGTTCAAAATGCTAACTAGCTGGCTTGAAGTTTCTGTGCAGGCAAACTTTTGAAAGAAAACAGGCAAGAAAAAAACTTTTTAGGGCTCTTTTCGGAAAGTTTTGACTAAAAACCGCGTTTTTTTTGGCGCGCACTCCTTTCCAAAAGTAGTGTATATTGGCGCCAAAGGCGCCTTTAGAAAAAATTTAAGGTCGGTCAGTCAAAACTTTATTTCTTAAAAAGTACCAAAGAGGGAACCTTTGGTTGACAGGGGGTCGAATCCTTAAATGGAGTCCGCCCCCGCGCCGCCCACCCCCTTCCTAAATCCGCTCCTAAGACTAACACAATCGACCTTTGATATTTCCAGAGTTTGCGGCCAAAGCTCAGTGTTTCAAGACTTTGCAAATCGAGAAAATTTGTCCGCGTACCGGCGCGACTCAGGAAAAGATCGTAGAAAAGTGCAGCCGAAGAAAAGTTAACCGCGACCGGCTCGACTATCCCCACCGTTGCACATTTTTTGCTAACAAATTAAACATTTTCTGTAACTTATTCAATTCAATTTAGCCAATTTAATTCAATCAAATGATATTATACGATTCAGCTTTATATTAAACTACCCGCACTCAGTAAAAAGAGAAAAAAATAGAATATAATGGATTTGTATTGTCGGTCTCCATAAAGTTCAAAAAAAGAGATTATAATCGATTAAAAATGGATTATAAGGTTACTATTTTTCGAAACAAAAAACCCATTATAATCAATTAAAATCGATTATTTTTTGAAAAAATTATTTCTGAAATTGTATTGAATTATAATCCAATATTAATTATTCAATTTTGCTATATGATTAAGCAAAACATGTTTCAAAATACCAAAAATTTCAAAAGACTGAATCTTACATCGTGTTATTTTTCTGAAACTTCAAGCTCAGTAATTGTAATATGATGTTCTCAAAATTAGTCACCTTTATCTCCGCGATTATCAGTTCTCGTACTTTTTCTCGCATCCGCCTTCATTTTTCGAAAACACTTAATTAATGCGGAATCTATTCACAAATGCCCGACAACTTACTACAATCGCCAATCGCTCAATGCGGATTCCACGACTTTAGTAATGTGCCGAAAAAATTGAAGTTGCAATTATTGTTTTGTGGCTTCTGCAACAATTTGGTAAGTGGAATCCAGTTAAATTTTGGAACATGTTTAAAAGCTTGTCTATGGATTCCGGGTTCCTACCAGAAGCTAACCCCGCGTATCCAGAATACGTGACAGAACATGTGACTGATAATGTCGTGACTAATTTTCAGATCATCGCGTCGAAAATTTATTTATTTTTTTTGTCCGCGTCTTTAAAAACCTGTCCAGACTTTCAATTTTTGGTCTCGGAATTAACATCAGCGCAACCTTGAACGTCTATAAATAAGTCGCGGTAATCGAATTGGATATGTATTTTGAGGTTACGGAGCAGTATTTGGACAACCGCGTATTCAGACTCGTCAGTATTTAGACAAATACTGTTTCAACCAATCAGAATCGAGACAAGGAAGAAACGAATATTTAATAATTATTTATTTCGTAAATTTGCTTTATCATCTCGACTCTGATTAGTTAATATGGTAATTGTCTGTTTACTGACGAGTATGAATACACGGTTGTCTGAATACAGACCGCACTCCGTATTTGGAGTATATGAGAGCATTAATGTGGTCTATTTGTTCAGTTCACTGAGGATGAGATAGGTCCTCCATTTGACATTAGAGACGAGGAGTCTTGGGTTAGTCTCTCCTGCCTGCTGCCATGTCTGTTCACGCTCTTTCCTCTTCCGTGCACGCGTGAACACTAATTGATTGCTTCCGTGTGTTTCTTCACCTTCGAAAACTGTTTTTCATGTTTAAGAATACGTGTGTACACATTTGGATCAGAGACCTGGCATCTTTTCTGAACAATAATATTCTATTTATTTTGTGCTTCCATTACGAATAGTGTCTTTGCTTCAAATGATTCGTCATCTTCATTGACAATTTTGATATTGTATCTCTTTTGATCTGACTCTGACAAGCATCTTTTTCTTTTTTCATCTGTCAGTTTAATCAGTTCTAACACAATTGTTTGTTTTTCCCAACTAATGAAGGAAGGTGGTGGACGATTCTCGACCGAGACAGCCAGTGGCAACATTTTGTTCACGCCTCGGAAGCCTCGCATGCTATCCATTCCAGGAACTGTGCGAGAGAGCAGCTCCAAGAATGTTCTAGAAAGAAGGGCCTCAGTGACCATAGGAGAGGAGCCTGAGGATGAGGAAATGGAAGATATCCAATTGGCAGCGGCCGTGAGTTTCTTCCGCTATCTTCCCGAATTCCCTTTCTTTTACTTTCCTTGTACTTTATTAGTACGCTGGCTAATTTTTCAGTCCATCAGATCCAACTCGCATTGCGATATTTTGCAAATTTTGCAATATAAAATTTTTATTTACAAAATTGGCTTTTTTCCTCACCCGATGCGAATTTTTATAACTTCAATTTTTTCACATTGTCCGATTGTTATGAAAATTGAAACGCGCATTAATTAGGCCATGACGAATATTTTTAGTTTTATTGTTTAACTCACTAATTATACCATAAAATTGATGCTCGTGCGCGGTTGGGGGGGGGGGGGGTTTAAACAAGCCAACATTTCAAATCCTAAGTGTTTTCTGGGAGATGTTTTTTGATAATCTGAAACTTTTAATAAGGTATCTGCTTTGAGAATTCGGGGAGCCGCAATTGGTAAAAAGGAACTGAAAAGTTGAAAAGTATATATTTCAAGTTTTTTCAAGGCTGGTAACGTGTAAAAGCTTATTTTCTCTCCATGCAGTCGGTTGAAATATATGTTTTTTTTTTCGTTGGTTGCAGCTGAGGTCTAAAACTTTAAATTGTCACTAAACTCTCGATAACATGTAATTATGAAGTATGCGGAGCAGAAGCGGATCTAGGATTTTCTCAAGGGGGGGGGGGGGGGGGGTGGCGGATTTTCAAAAATTTTGGCGATTTTTTTTTAGGTCGACCAAATTGATTTTCCGAGCTGTGCCAAAGCAGTAAAAAAAACGCTGTTTTTGCCAAATTTTCAGCGCCGCAGGCAAATTTAAAAAAAAAACAGGTAAAAAAAGCCGTTTTTGGGCACTTTTTGGAACATTTTGACAAAAAATCGCGTTTTTTGGCGCGCGCTCCCTTTTAAAGATAGTATTTCTTGGCCTTCAGAAAAATTTTTGGGTCCTTTGGTTCGGCAGGGGGTCGAATCCCTGAGAGGGGGCGTCGGCCCCCACACCCCCCCCCCCCCCCAAATCCACCCCTGATTAAAAAAAGCACTTTGAATTGTTATAAACCGAAGAAGCAGGTGCGGATCTAGGATTTTCTCGAAGGAGGGAAGGAATTTTCAAAATTTTGGGTCGGCAGGGGGTCGAGTCCCTGAGAAGGGTGTCGGCCCCCCACTTCACCGCATAAGCTGGTACTAATAATCACTAAGCTTTTGACTAATTACTTTTCTTAGTATAAATCTAAACCCAACTTACAACACGTTCGGAACTTTATGAATTGATTTGTCGAAAAATGCATTTTGGCTGCCTTCAAAATATATAAAAAAACTCGGAGACGTATTACGAAAAATTTTCATTTTTTTTGGAATTTTTTTGTCCAAAACGAAAACACTGAAACTAGAATCTGAAAAACATTACATGGATTAGATTCAGGGGCGAATCTAGGATTCTCTTGAGATGGTGCGGGTTTTAAAATTTCTTTTGAAACTTTTGGCGACTTTTTTTTTAGGTCAACCAAATTAGTTTTCCGAGCACTCCCTGAACACTATAAAGATGCCATTCTGACCTAACTTGCTCTTGGGAGAGGTTGTTCTCTTGGTCCACCAATTGAGCAATTCGTGTTTTTTGTTTTCTTATACATATTTTTTATACACGAAACTACAAAATTATGGCTAATGTTTTAAAAACAGCAAATCTGTCTGAAAAAATATACGAACGAATAAAAAAGTGCAGTACGTCGTTTTGATTCTTGGCGTTTCAAAAAATCAATTATACCCAAGAGTTAAAGTATGAACATAATTGAAACAGTTTCAGCTGTAAAAGTCTACAGAAGTTGAAACAAGTTGAATGTTGTGTTCGAATTCCAGGAAGAAAGAGCCAAGAAGTTGGATAAGGTGGCCAGCAATCTAGATGCTCGAATGCAGGTAATTGTCCCTTATCAAACTAAACAGTGCTCAAACTAATCACAAAGTGAGTTTCTCCTTCAATTTAGGACATTGCCGCAGAGTTCTCCTATGAACAATTTGCAAGTTCGAGAAGAAAAATCAGTTCTTCGGACGAAAACGTTCAAAAGGTAATAGATTACAGATTTTTCAATAGGAAGCAAAAATACCAGTGAGACTTATTTGGAAAATTCATTTTCTTTGCAGAACTTCTCCCAGATGGTGGAAGATTTTGATCACAAACCCCTGGATGAAAGCTTCACTTCTAAGGGCAAATCAACACCTAGAAGGAAGGTAACCATTGTTTTATTGTCTGTATAAATTTCATGAGGTGGTTTCAGGCAAGAGTAAAAGTACTCATTTTATTTATGATATTGTTTTTGCTGTTTATACTAAATGTGTTTTGTTTTTCAATTTCTTAAAGATGCAATAAAAAGCATGAATTGTTTCAGGGAATCGTGAAAAAGAAGTCGGGATTGGCTGCTGTTGATAAAAATAACAAGCGAGTGTTCCAACTGACTACGAAAGAGAACTCTACTTTGGACCCCCCACTGGAGGAGGAGCCAATGAAAGAAGCTGAAAAACCAGATGAGGAGGGAAAAGATAGAAACATATCAGAACCAGTCAGTTGTTTTGAATGAGATAATCAAAAGGGGGATTCCTCAAAGTAGAGAGGGGGGGGGGGGGGAGATGTTTACTGTCTGTTACCACCTTTTTTTTGGATTTGATCTACTGATCTGGCATATTTGGCAAGTGTAGTTTTTTCTAGCTTTGGCCAGTGTTGGACACGAATGAAGAGAGCCAAAAACATTTTATTAATCTTATTAAGAGGTTTTTGTTCGCTACAATTGCATTTCCGTTTCCATTTGTGAAGTACTGGCGGCTTGACTAATTGTGACCCTGCACCTAATGACAAAAATTGAATTATATCCCGGCTAGTCTCTTGTTTCGATTTTGAAAAGCGAGCAAGTGCAGTTTTGAGACTGATTTTCCACGGTCGAAAAGTAATTCTAAGTCGAGCACAAAGTCGAAACATACCCGTCGAAATTCGAAGCATAGATCAAAAAAGTCAACACATACCCGATTTTGAGCAAGAAAATCGAAACATAGGTTGAGAAAGTCGAAACGTAGTTGGAGAAAGTCGAAACATACCCAAATATTTCGACGTTTAACCTGTATCTCAAATCCCATGCTTCAGTAATTTTCAATAAAACAAACTAAATAGGGGAGACCTTAAATGAAAATCCACTTTCCACCAGGTTTTGTCCATTTTAAAAAACATTGGACAAATTTTGAAAAACCAAAAAGCCAACATCACTTTTGAGCTCATATGCATAATTATGTAAGATTTTACGGTTGAACAAGTAATAATTTGATACGTTCACAGGAAAAAAAAAACTTTTTTTTGTTGCTTCGACCATTGAAATTGGGGAAGAACTTTGTCTTCGGGTGTGTTTTAGTTTTTTTTCCACTCAAAATTAGGTACCACAAAAATAATCATCGGTATGAATTGAGTGATATATCATAAAAAAAGGTCTTTTAGCCAGGTCTTGAACGAAACCGGTTGAGAAAAACCGGTTTGGAACTTTTGAATTTTAGCCTATTTTACTGGCTCGAAATTAGACAAACAATTTTAGGCCAAGTAATAAGCTTAGAGCGAGAATTAAACTAACTACCACACGAACCCGAAAAGGTTTCAGTGTTTTTTAGCATACCATCTTTAAGATGCCATCACAATCTTCTTACAAGTAGAATAGAACGCTTAGACTTGTTACCCACAGTAGAAAGTCTTGGTGAAACAGTATTACAAGATGACGGCCCCTTAGACTTATACTACCTAAATTTTTATCAAAAAACTTTTATAGGCAACGAGCAAGGAAAAAAATGTGGGGTTATTGCGGCATTTCAGATAGAAGGCGCACAGGTAGATACACCCACTATCAAAAATGAAATAGAACATAGGGTTATTTTTTTTGGCTGGCAACACGGATAAACAATCAATCTGCATTTTGTTCCAACCAGCGTTACTAATCTCTGGCAAGTTCCTACAAGAGCTGGAAATTTTTTAAACTGAACTAAATGCCGCCGAGAAAAAGATTCTTTTGTGCAAGGACTTCAACGTAGATATCCTTGATCAGCGTTCAAAATTAGTTTTCGATTATTCTAATACCTTGAGATCTTTAAGATTTTCAGTTCAAAATTCTCTACCAACCCAAATTACAAGCATTCGCATCATGTCTTGATTATGTGATATGTAAAAAAAATTGAGGACAGTGGAAACGATTCAGTGTAAAATAAGTGATCACTTGGCATTGAAGGTAGAATTTGAAAAAAAGGTTAAAGTCATTTCACAAAAAAGTTAAAGAGCAATAACATTGGTTGCAAGCTCCTGTTTCTTTTAAATCAATTAATTGGTAAAAAAATGAAAATCTCCCATTTGAATTATTGATTACATTTTAATTTTTTGAAACATTTTAACCGCTGGTAAAACTACTCAGCAAAAAAAACATTAGTTGAATTGTAAAATTAAACGCCTTTGCAATTAACAAGACAGAATAAATAAAAGGTGTATTTCAAAACCATCAGAAATTAATCTATTCCAGTACAAAAATTCAAGTACCCAAGATGTTTTATTATCAAACAGAGCAAAATGTGGTACTATGACCAAAAAAACATGCCTCTTTGTAATTCCAAAACACCGTTCTCTACTTTAATGAGTTTTTCAGAAATTTAAAAGAAAAAACCCCTCCAAGAGATTTGAATGAGTTCAACTAGTTTTGTGTTGAAATTAGGAAAAAATGGCTAAAATTCAAAATCAATGAAAAAATTAATTGTTTTAGAATTAATCAGAACGTCTCTTCTTTGTTCTCTACCCCGCATATAAGGACAAAGTAATGAAATTTACTAAAAATTAATCATTAACTGGTCGTGATTGCATAAAACATAAAACGATTATAGTGGTGAGGTAATTAGCAATTCAGTGGCGGATTTGTTCGATCAAATTGTATACTATGGAGAATTTTGAGATTTGTGCTAATTAGCCAAAGTTCTACTTTATTATAAGAAGGTTTTTAACGAGGACCGAACCAATATTAATCTATTAAGCTTGCTTTCATGAATAAACAGAGCTATCGAAAAAATGCTTTTCAATCGCTTAACATCTGTTAGCAGCAGAACCATTTGGATTCAGTAAAAGTCTTTCACGTATCCGTTGTTTTGCACAAATAAATTCTAAACGCAGCACAAGAAAGCAAAGAAACAGTGAAAAACGTAGATTTGTGGTGCAAAGCCAATAAAATAACAATTAAAACAAAAAAGTCAGGTAGCTAACTTTGGTTGGAAAACAAAAAAAGCGAAGTATATCTCGGATGAAAAAAAAATGGAAAAAATTGGTTTTTTCAAATAATTGAGCACCATAATTTAACTTTTCTTTAGCATGTTGATACTAATTGCAAAAATAACCCCGTATTATTGATTCAATATATCAAACATGGATGGTTTTTTCTCGAAAATTCCTCCTGAGATTTTATAATGTTTATGCCAAGCCCGTTGTTTTGTTTTGTTTCGCTTTCTTGCATATGGCTGTTCAACAGAAATTGTTCTGCAAAGATTTTTTTTCCAATGTAAAAACGGATGTTCAAGACTATATTTTTAGAATGAAACTATAAATACAAAACTGAAACCATTGTTGAAATTTTTCTTGATCAGTTGCATGAAAAAACTATTAATCATTTGCTTAAGAAATCTCCACTTAGTTTTTTGAGTGAACACCTATTGTCACAAAGTAGATGCACGAGAGCTCGCAAATTAAAAATTCTTAACTTACAACTAGTAAGAACAAATTGGCTGCACAGGTCGTTCAGCCAGAGGATAAAAAATTGTTACAGCTTTTTATCTTCGGACAAAGTGCCACCTGACAATTGAAAACAGTCAAAGATAAACGAAGTTAATAAAGACAGGTATAAAATTAAGAACTCTTTTCTGGTAGATAATACCAATATACATAATTTCATTTTTTTTTCTAACTGTTAGCATCTTGATCCTCGGGTTTTTTTGGTTTTCCAGGGTCTCACCTCGTTGAGCCTCAAGGCTCGTGCGCAATCCTTGTGTGTTAATTACTGTGTACCTATGTTTTCTCTCTGAATAATTCAAATTCAGTGCTCAAAAACTTAATTTTACTATACAAAACTAATTTTGCAAACTTCGGTTATGCTTCCTTGGCAATAAACACTGTACAATTTTTTCAAGTTTTTTGCTTAAAATTTCAGGGTCGCAATGCTGTCAGTTATGATTAAATCACTAATATTCTTCATTGTTATAGTTGTCAGACCCAGCATAAAAAATACACTAATTTCAAAAAACTTTTTGTAGTTTTTTATGAGCATTTTGTGCTACTTGTGCAGCAAGCGGCTTTCCTTGTTATATGTAATGATTTTAATGAAAATTCAGAAATGATGAAATTTTGTGAAGCTAAGGACTCATTACTATTCTGTTCTGCTGAGCAAAATTTTCAATAAGAGAACAAAAAATCTTACATTACACTCATGTTGAATTTGTAAAGGGCCACTTTTTGAAACAGCCAAGTAGTTTTTTATTGAAAAATTAGCTAAAAAAGCCCGCACTGTTGTAAGATTTATGCTAAACTGCAACATAAAAAATTTCAGCTTGCAGTAGACGAAAAGGGAGAAAGGAAGCTGCCAATTGAAAATGAAAATCCAACTGACTGGGATCAAAGAGAAAGAAGACAAGAAGGAGGCTTCACTACTGAAACGATTGACGCAGACCCAGATCAAACTAATGTAGAGAACAATGGGCCAAACAATGATGCGGAAACCAACCAATCAGAAGCGGACCAAGTTCCCGAAATGGTCCAATCGGAATCGACCAAATTGAATCGAGAGCCAACGTTGAAGTTACAAACAGAAGCTTCCGGACTTTCTACAATAAGTGGTGCGACTAATGATGACGTAATACCTTCATCGCCAATGGCATCTTTGCATGTGCCCCCATTTCACGTGACTGTTGAACCCACCGGGGCTCAGAAGGGGAGGGGTGATCACATGGATTTGAAGCCAGCCGCAGGAAGAGGAGTTGCCGACGTTAAGAGGGATGTCTACAGTAAAAGTAGTTTCGCTGAGTATAAATCTGCTCGGGAAGCGAAGAAAAGTTTGTTCAAGGAGGAACCGCTGGCTGTTCGCGGAGAAAGGGTAAGGATACTGTTTTCCATTGAACGCTAATGCGAAGCCAATTGGTGCCAAACAACTTCTTCAATGAAGACTAGTTGGGCCCAAGCGTCTTCAGAAGCCAAAAGCCCCATTTTTGACATAGCAAAATTACAATAGCATGAAAAAATGGGACTGGAGAAAAATATTATATGATAAAATGATAAGATTAGAATGGCATATTAAATATTGAACTAGTTTGAACAACACAAAAAGCACCCCACTTATAATCAATTTCCAGCAAAAAAGTCTGAAATCTTTTTAAAAATTTATCCCAAGAAGATCACATCAAACTGAAATGACATATTTATTCTCCAAATTCATGGCAAACTGATCTCTTAAAATCACTCTGAACATGATGAGTTGTGCACCATATCTGAATTTACATTTGATATACTGAACGTGCAGCTGGGGGATCCTGAGTACGATTACCAACTGACCAAATGGAAACTGCGAAGCCAACAGTTTCATAATGACCAGGTCTTAATGTTGTTTACATTTTGTGATTCTGCTTTTTCTTGAGTTTCCTTACAGCACAACATCAATAAAAAGGTGCAAAATGTTTGGGTGCCAATATTTTTGAAGTTTGAAGAGTGTATGAATCAGAATTTTTGTTACCCGGGACTGTGGCTAGTTTTAGACCCGGACATTGGAAAAGTTCAGAGATTTAAGCAGGACTGGAATTTATTTTTTGATTTTTTATGTTTATACTGTAGATTAAAAAAGATTTTTTGAGTTTATACTGTATTTAAAAACAGTGCTCAAATATTTTGCACTTTGTAAACCACTGGCCTTTATGTTGAATTTATCACCTCTTGAACAAAATTCCGTTGTCATTTTTAGGATTGACGAAAGAAAACGTAAAGAAGATGAAAATGCTAACAAATCTCTCTTGCTTTAGATTTAATATCAACCATAATTAATCATTTTCAATGATTTCCACTTGCTTATTCTGTTTTGTTGTGCGATGTTTTGACCCGTTTGTCTTGAGCCTGTGTTTATTATTTCTACCAACACGTGTTTTATTTACAGCGCCTGTTTCCAAAATGTGGTTAGTATAAGTAAGAATTTGATCTAAATAACTGTCTAAAAGTGTGAACAACTGTTTCAGTCGAATGTGGCCGAGGATGAACTGAGAGCTAGATACAATCAGTACAGGAAACTGGTGAGTCAAATTAACACTAAAACTTAAAAAATAGTCAGTTGATGTGCTGAAAACTTAGATAACATTCTAATGTAATTTGGTTTAGAAAATTAAAAAAAAACGTCCTTTTTTCCTTATAATCTCTTATACTTCATGACGTAAATGCCGGCAAAAAAAACAGTCAGTTTAATATTCTTGATAATTTGCAAGAAATTTGTTTGTTATTTTATTGATGAGGTGCAGAAAATATATCACACTGCTTTAGTAAAGAAATGCGTTAACACTGTAAAAACATTTGAAAATTTATCACTTTCTTTGACAAAAAAAATTACTACCGCCCTTATCTACTAAATGATTTCATCAATCAATTTCTCTTTTCCAGATGCAGCATTTTCTGTGATTCAGAATTTTTATGAGAACAATTAATTTGATTGGTTACAGCATCCTGAACAAAACTTGAAATTAAACCAGGAGCTTATAGAAATGCTTAATTTAGGAGTTTTCAAGATTACCGAGTTTGTGACTAATAAAACACTTCTACAAAATAAGGTATTTATCTGAAACAAAATCTGGCAGACAACAAAAAAAACATAGAACAGGGATGTAAAAAAATATATTTAAATATATTTTTTCAAAAAAATAAATATATTTATATTTTTGAGGAAAAAAATAAATATAAAAATATATTTAAATGTTTCATGGCTGCTCAAAGATTAATTTTCAAATAAAAAATTAAATTTCAGCGAAAAATCAATTAACGGAAATGGAGAAAACTAAAAATCCATTAATGGCCATTATGGCCATTAATGGCGTTCAGTTCGAATGTTTCTCAGTTTTCTTATTGAAGAGCGTCCTTGACGGTTTCAACTTTCCACATTCGTGCATTGGCTTTGAGAAAGAGCTGTTCTTCGAGATGTAAAGGGGTTATTGATTGCCGCAGGTCACCCAGAGAATACCCAGCTGCGCTGAAAAATCTTTCAAAAATATTTTTAACACGTACAAACTTTTATGGCTGGCTCGAGTGGGTTTTCGCTAGTATCCGAAATTGCCCAATTTGTATTTAACGCGATAGCCCTCAAAGCAGTCTATCTACTTGCCGTTGAAATTTTCCAATTGCTTGCATACATAATAAGCAGCAATTAAAATGCGGAAGGCACTTACTCCTTTTTCTCATGGGGCTGACTACATATTGTCAATTAGCCAAGCCAAGCCAAGCTTCAATTATTGGCCGAGTTGTGTTGGAAACCTGCTTTGCAATTCAAACAATAATTGTTACGAAAAATAAATATATTTTAATTTTTGAACTGGAAAATAAATTATTTAAATGTATTTATTGTCAATATATTTAAATACAATATATTTTTTTTACATCCCTGACAGAATATCTAAGGTTAAAAATAGGACCAAGTCCATGATACATGAGTGGTCAGCGAAAGTAAAAATAGGTTAATGAAACACGAAGTAACACGACGCGCAGTCTTCTGCTTCATTGCTTCAGTCTTTGCTCCCATTGGGTTGGTTATTCCATACATGTTGAGAGCTCAAAAATTCCTGAAAAAAAATTGAAGAATCACTGGTCAGAAATGGAGTCTTACTTTAAGCTAAACTAAATGATAATTTTCTGGAATGACAAAAAGGCCTGCCCATCTTAGGTAGGTTAACTAACGAACTGTGCTCTTTTTCTGCCTCAGTTGGCAATTGATACCCATGAGACTAAACTTTCCATCATTCTTGATAAAAAACGGGTTGCGAGTAGCATAAATGAATGCAGTTTTCTCCCAAACAGCAATCGAAAGCTGTACTACTCGCTTGAAAGAAGACATCATGACAGCAATTACAATCCTAGTTAGGAACATTCGCATTCATATAGACAAAGCCAACATGTTTCAACGACTCTATTTGCCATCGAAGCAACCAATGTTTGTCGATAGGTTAAGAAGCAAAAAAAAAAACTTAAAACCACTAATTTAGAAAACAATCATGATACCAGAAACTACCACGATGACACGGACACTAGTATCATCGTCACTGAAGCTTTAGAATATATCAATCAGCTAGACCCAGAGTTCTCGTTGTTTTAGAATCAAAGATTTGCCCCTAAGGACTAAATGTTAATGAGTTCCAATTCAAAGTCATCAATTCCGACTCTATTTCCAACGCCAGCCCCACATTACCCAACTTGTCTTCAATTGGCATCGATACTTCTCTTTTGTTAAATTGTTTCGCTTACTAGCATTTATCCTCAAAAAAATTCCGAGTACACCCCCCCCCCTATTACCGTAATCCAAAAAGCAGCTTTCACATTAGATTATAAAACGTTAATTTCTGAAAAACTTGTTTTGAATCTAGGTTCCATTGCAACCTTCTTCCTCTTTATGCTTCTGGGTCGTCGTTTTCGGTCCGCGGAACAAATAGATGTTTTTCTGAAGTCCATATCAGAGCAAAACACCCTATACCTAATATTCAGTCGTTACTGGTGCAAGTTTTATCGCTATTGCTATTTTCATATAATAATTACATAATTTCATGCTTGGTCTGGTCTGGATAAAACAAGTTTTTGGCTAATACTTTTCGTGTTCACTCTCAATCCTTTTTGGGTAATTTGCAAAGTTGGAAGGGTTAAACTGATTCAAACGAGTTATTGGCTACTTTATTTCAGTTTTTAATGGCATTTTTGAATTACTTATTGATTTACCATCTGGTAATTAAACAAAGTTTTCCGACCAGTTGACCCGATTGAAGGTTTTTTTAACCTGTTTTTTTTCCACTCCAATGTACGTAACTGAAAGAAAACGCTCGAAGAGTCAAGTGTGGTAGCAACTTAAAACCTTATTGATCGTGGCTGTATTTCCAAAAACGTTATCTCATTGTAGCCGCCGACATGTCATGATGAGAGTGAACAAACTCTTAATAAACACTTCAATTAATGTCGTAGAAACATTCTGTGTCAGTTGCACTGTAAACTGATGTCCTCGTTTACTAATTTTTTCTGTTTTTGGCATCCAGTTTTTTATGGCCATGCGAAAGCAACTAAGCGGGAAAATGGTATGTGGAACAGTTTTGTGAGTTAGGACCGAAGTGTATAACTCATAGAGTAATTTCGGATAGGGTACACCGTCTGCTCGTCACTCTATCTTATTTTCGGCCGGATAGATTCGTGCAACTTCTTAGTCTAATACCAATCCTAATCTTACTCTTATACTATCTAGTCTCAGGTTGTTTAACTAGTCTCTGCTAGGCTCAATAGATCTAGGGTATACTGGTTTATTGCGGTTGCTGAAGTCTTCTTGGAGAGTCAACTAATTTCTAAGTTAAATTCAAATCTCTCTGGTGCTGAAATTACAAGTAGTTTCAGCACTTACAAATAAGTGGGTTGTTAGTTAGATGGATCATGATTGGTTAATATTAAATACTTTACAGTGGTAAAATATCTAATTTATCCAATCATAAAATGTAGTTTAGATCAGGTTCCACCCATCCGGGTTTTACAGAGTTTTTTAGAATAGTCTTTCTGCAATTCAAAGGATGGATGATGGACGTTGGTATTTGGCGAACATCTTATTTCTTCTGGGTTTTCTTATTAGAGAAGTCCCAGATTCAATCGTTGTGTCTTCTCAAGACAACCACTGGGTTTTCGCAACAAACTCAAATCTGATTTCAGAATGGTTGGCTATGTCAGGTTTTTCTGTTTCATTGATGAGAACTTCTTTGTGTTTGACCCTGTCTGGGAATGGCGTGGAGATTGTGTGTGGAGGGGATGCCTGGTTACTCGGATCTGTACGTATACTTGAACATCGAGGCGGTCATTGTTCTAGTTCAATGAAGTCCTTTTCTGCGAAGTCAAGTCGTACTCTAAATCCTTTGAGTTGTGATTGTGGGCGGCATATTGATTGTGGTTGGCCATTCTTTTTCGAGTGTAGTGGGTTCATTTTGTCTTTGGATGTTCGTCTTTGGTGTTGTATGCTGATCTATATATTGCATAATATAATTTACATTTTATAAAACTTTTATTAGTTTAATGTTTTTTAATTATGATTTTGGTTAGTTGTTTTCACAAAAGCTTTTTGTTTTAGTTCAGTTATTTTGAAGAGTTACTCACCCTTGAGTAGCTCTTATTAAAAATAGGAGTGTGTGTCACAAAGCGTGGATGTAGCGCGGTGGGTTAGGCCGGCTATAGAGCATGCTCAGGACGTCCTCTTCTGGTGGGTTAGGCCAGGAGTGGGAGTATGATAGCATGCGGTTTTTGTGAGAGGTCCTGTTATGTGACAACGTTTTATGTTGGGTTTGTTGTGGTTTTTCTTACGTTTTGTTGGTTGTGTCCTTTTTTCAAAAATCAAATTGTTTGTGGTATGGGTTTGTCTTTCGACTTTTTTGTGTTTTATTATTTCTTTCTTAGACTTTATAATAGTCTTCAAAAGAATAAATTATCCAGTTTTAAACTGGGTTAATCCGGTTTGGGTACCGTTGGTTTCCTTTTCTTAGTCATGCTGTTATGCTATGTGTTGTGGTGTTTAGTAAGCTGCATTGGTTAATTTTGTTTAGTATATAATTCCTTTCCAACCGGGTTAAAGGAAAGTTTGAAACTTGTTATCGTGTGTTAGAGTTGTTGAGTGTGAAAGCTTGAAACTGAAATTCATTATTTAAACAATTCTTCGTGGGCGAGCTGTGCGAATTTGGATAGAATTCTTGTGCGAGTGAATGAAAATATCAAAAGGTTAGTACTGCATTTGCTTCTTATTAATTTACTTCATAGAATTTCAATTTTACTGCTAGTTGTTGGGGAAAATTAAGTTACAAATTTTCATCATTATTAAATTTACTGCATTTGGGAAAAAATTTATAAATTAAATTATTGCATTGGTATTATTTTTATTTAATTATTTGGTGCAAAAAATTAATAGAGTTTTAAACAGTTTGAAGAAGTTTTCAATTTTCATTTTCTTTTGTGAATTTTTCAGATGATCGTTGGATGAAGGCTAAAATTCTAAAGAAGACATGAATAAAGATTGGTTAGTTTCTAA